AATCTGCTGTCGTGCTTATTTTTATTCCTTTATACTTAAGGTATCTTTTCCTCTGGCTGCTTTGAAGATATTTATCTTAATTGTTGATTTTGAACAGGTTTTTCATGTTGGGCCTCGGTATACTTTTCTTCATACTTCTTGTTCTCGGGAGTCATAGAGCTTCTTGGAGCCGTGGGTTTATAGTTTCCATCAACTTTGGAAAATTTTCTAGACATTATTTCTTCAAATATTTTTTCTATCCCCCTGCTCCTTTAGGAACTTGTTACAGGTATATTGGGCTGCTTGAAGTTGTCCCATGGCTCACCGATGTTCTTTCCATTTTTAAGTTGTTCTCTTTGGGTTTCATTCTGGGTAGTTGCTATTGTGAAGTCCTCAGGTTTGCTAATCTTTTTTTTTGGTAACGTGGAATCTGTTGTTAATTCCATCCAGTGTATTTTTCATTTCAGGTGCTGTAGTTTTTATCTCTAGGAGTTCAGTTTGAGTCTTCTTCTTTTTTTTTTTTTTTTATTATCCATGTCTCTACTTAACTTGCTGAATGTATAAGATACAGTTTGAATGTTCTCATTTGCTAATTCTGCCATCTGAGTCATTTCTGGGTCAATGTCAGTTGATTGATTATTCTCACTATGGATCATGTTTTCCTGCTTCTTTGTTTTTTGTTTTTTGGGTTTTTTTGCGGTACGCGGGCCTCTCACTGTTGTGGCCTCTCCCGTTGCGGAGCACAGGCTCCGGACGCGCAGGCTCAGCGGCCATGGCCCACGGGCCCAGCCGCTCCGCGGCATGTGGGATCTTCCCGGACCGGGGCACGAACCCGCGTCCCCTGCATCGTCAGGCGGACTCCCAACCACTGCGCCACCAGGGAAGCCCTTTCCTGCTTCTTTGCATGCTTGATAATCTTTGATTAGATGCCAGACATTGTAATTTTTACCTTGTTAGGCTAGCTAGCTTTGTATTCCTATAAATACTCTTAAATATTGTTCTGGGATGTGGTTAAATTACTTGTAAGTAGTTTGATCCTTTGGGGTTTTGCTTTTATGATTTGTTAGGTGGGTCCTGAGCACCCACCTAATCTGGGGCTCATTATTCCCCATTGCTGATGAAGTAAGACCTTCCAGAGTATTCTACCCAATATCCTGTGAATTGTGGGTTTGTCCTAGTCCCGGCCCTGTGTGAGCACCGGCCATATCTCTCTAAACCTTTTGAATGGTTTTCCCCCAGACTGGGGTAGTTTCCTTACACCCTTGCACTGACCAGTATTCTTCTAAATACTCAAGAGGCCCCTCTGCCGTCTCTGGGCAGCTGTCTCCTCTCTGGTTCCCTGTCCTGTGACTCCAGCTGCCTTGCTCTCCTGAGACTCAGCTCTGTCTCCTCACCTCAGGCAAATCTGCCTGCGTCCCCCTCTCTGCATCATGGCTTGGAAACTTGCAAGACAGAAAGCTGTGGCAGTCAACTGAAGGGCTCATCGAGTGTGCTGCCTGTTTCCCTAGAATTGCTGTCATTCATTGCATGATGTCCAGTATCTTGAGAACTGTTGTTTCATATACTATATTATGTCTGGTTTTTTTGGTTGGTTGGAGATGGGAGTGAAATCTGGTCCATGTTGCTTCATCTTGGGATGGAGTAGAAGTCCTACTTAATAAACACTGGGGACTTCCCTGCTGGTCCAGTGATTAACACTCCACGCTTCCATTGCAGGGGGCTCGGGTTCGATCCCTGGTCAGGGAACTAAGATCCCACATGCCATGCGGTGTAGCCAAAAAAACCCCAAACCAAACCAAAACAAAACATTGATTAAACAAATTTGCTGAATTAACTCTGACCTGACCCTCCCAGGTTCCTGACAGCTGGTTCCAGAACTGTGGTCATAATGCCTAGCACCCAGTAGGTGCTCCATGTTTGTTGAATGAATGCATGCGAGAGTACTTGACTTCATAAGAAGTAAAACAAACAAACAAAGCAAAAAAAGAGTACTAGACCTCCGCCTTCTTACCCCATCCTTGTCCTCAGGGCACTGCACTTGGCCGTGATTCATCAGCACGAGCCCTTCCTGGATTTTCTCCTAGGATTCGCCGCTGGTACTGAGTACCTGTACCTGCAGAATGACCTGGGCCAGGTGAGCCACCTGTAGACACTGTAGGGCTTGGGGGCTAGGCTTCTCTGTGTGACCCCTAACCCCTGCCTTCTGCTCCTGCAGACAGCCCTGCATCTGGCAGCCATCCTGGAAGAGGCATCCACGGTGGAGAAGCTGTATGCGGCGGGTGCCAGCTTGCTGGTGGCGGAGCGTGGGGGCCACACGGCGCTGCACCTGGCCTGCCGCGTCGGGGCACACGCCTGTGCTCGTGTGCTGCTCCAGCCCCGCCCCCAGTGCCCCAGGGGAGTCCCCAACACCTACCTCGCTCAGGGCTCTGACCACACCCCTGACACCAACCACACCTCTGTTGCCTTGTACCCTGAGCCTGACGTGGAGAAGGAAGAGGATGAGAGTGAAGAGGACTGGAAGCTGCAGCTGGAGGCTGAAAACTATGAGGGTGAGGGTCCTCTGTCACTGGGAATGGTGCCTGGCTCTGGGCTCGGCTCTCCTGACTCAAAGCCTGGCCCCTTGGGAAATAATACCGAGGCTTTAGGGAACCCAGGCGTCAGGCCCAAGGACTCCTGCTCAGGCCCCAGCTTATTGAGAACCACAAGCCCCAGGCCACCCAGGACAAGGGAACTCAAGCGCCAAGCCCTCTGGGAAACTCTGGCAGCCCAGGTTCCCAGAGGTTGACATTGGAGTTCAGGGACAGCCCTCCTCAGCCAGGCCTCATGGGAAAATAGACCTTGTCTACCCAGGGCCCTAGCATCTGAGTCTCAGCTCCCCCGTCTCTAAGCCCACACAACTACTTGGGACCAGGCCCCTCCACAGGTGGAAGGGCGGGACCCAGTGTTCAGGGCCCACCCCACCCCCCAAGGTCATAGGCCCTTCAACTACTCAGGACCCAGGAATTGGGGGTCCTGGTTCTTTGTGAAGTAAGACCAGAGACTCAGGTCTCCTAGCCCCAAGATCCAGGCCTCCTGTCCAAAGCCCCTGGGCTCTTCACGCATAGGCCCCAGACATCCCACAACCCAGGCATTGGCACTGCCAGCAAGTTCCAGACCACCTGAGACTTAGGCATTTGGGATGCAGGAGCCTCTTTGATATACCCAGGCATTCAGGAGCCAGACCCCAAACTCCATCACCCTCAGGCCACAAAACCCTCCCCTAGGATCGTGGCATTGGGGGCCCAGGCCCACCCCCCATCATCTGACATAGGTCACTCTGTCCCCAGGCCACACCCCACTCCATGTGGCTGTCATCCACAAAGATGCGGAGATGGTCCGACTGCTCTGGGAAGCCGGAGCTGACCTCAACAAACCGGTGAGCCGCCCTAGGGAGAAGGCGTGGCAGAGTGGGGATCGTGCCCGAGTGGGGAAGGGTCTCCTCTAACCTCTCTGCTGCACCCCACAGGAGCCCACGTGTGGCCGGAGCCCCTTGCACTTGGCAGTGGAGGCCCAGGCAGCTGATGTGCTGGAGCTTCTCCTGAAGGCCGGTGCCAACCCCGCCACCCGCATGTATGGTGGCCGCACCCCACTCGGCAGCGCCATGCTCCGGCCCAACCCCATCCTCGCCCGCCTCCTCCGTGCACACGGAGCCCCTGAGCCCGAGGATGAGGATAAGCCCGGCCCCTACAGCAGCAGTAGCGACAGCGACAGCGGGGACGAGGGCGTGAGTCAGGAGGAAAGACTGGGCGGCCCAGCTTGGGGGTCAGAGTAAACAGGCAGGTGGAAGGGGGAGAAGAGAAATTAGGCAGCACGTTGAGACTGACGTTGGGCTGCTGTGATTAGAGAACTCAGGCAGCAGTGAAAGTGATATCAGACAGTGATCAGGGGAGACCTGCTCAGGGGTGGCGGGGAGAACTCAGGCAGTGGCGGTTGAGAAGTTAAGGCAGTGGCAGAGGTAGAACTCAGGCAGAGGGAGAGAAAAGACCTTGGTCCTAGTGGTTGGTAAACATCGGCAGCAGAGGGTGGCAGCGTGGGGAGTTGTTTTGTGGGAGCAAGAGCTGGAGAATTTAGGCTGTGGGAAGATGACCTTGGGCAGCAGTGATTCAGACACTGGCAGCGGTGGGGAAAGACCTAAGCCAGCAGTGAGGAGACTTCATTGGAGAACCCAGACAGCAGAGACACTGCTGGGGCAGGGGTTGTCGTTGAACGGTGGGGGTTGAGGAATTTGGGTAGAGGCAGAGGGAAGGGGTGGAGGGGGAGACCTCAGGCTGCGGCGGCTGTAGGGCTGGAGAGGCAGCAGGGCTGGAGACCACGCAGCAGCACTGGGAGAACACAGGTGACCTGGAAAGTGGTGCTTAGAGAACTAGAAGCAGGGAAGTTGAACTGGGAGCGGGGAACTTGGGCTTCAGGGCAGCACCCGGTTCTCAGGGTGGGTGGGAGAACTTGGGCAGCGGGCAAGGTGGCAGCCGCCTGAGCCCCTCTGCCTGGCCCCCTCTGCCCCCAGGATGAATATGACGACATCGTGGTCCACAGTGGCCGGAGCCCAAACCAGCTACCTCCCACCCCAGCCTCGAAACCGCTCCCTGATGACCCCATCTGACTTAATTGTGAATAGAGTTTCCAATTTAATAAAAAATCCCAGTTCTGACAACAGTCGCCTTCCCAGGCCTCCCGCCCACTCCTCAGCTCCTGTCCCTCTAAAATCAAGTGCTACACGATAAGCCTTGGTGGTTTTCTTTGTGCTTTATTCACTCGGGAGGGTTGGCCAGGGTTAGATGGGTGTCAGGGCTATTTCCTGAGTCAGTCTGAGCCCAGCCCCTCTACCCAGCTCAGACTTGGCCCCTCAGGCCTGGTTTCAAGGTGCACCCTTCTCCCCACTCCTGTAAGTTGGGGAGCAGAGTGGGGTGATGGACTGGAAGGGTTTGGGGATCAACAGCCCCAAGCTGTAGGGTGTGTGAGGAAGGAGGACATGAGGTCAGGGGTCAGCCCGCGCTCCTGAGCTCCTCTCCCAGCATCTCCGTCGCCGCCTTCAGCTCATCTCTCATGTGCTCCAGCCGTTCCAAGTCATGCTCCTGGGGGGATCAGAAGTGGGGTGCTCAGCACCCACCTTCAAAGGCAGGCCACCTCAGTGGTTGCCCGTGAATGTGGGCCAGGTCAGTTCACTTAGTGGCAACCAGCAGTGGTCATCCTGGTCATCGTGGGCTGTGATGGTCACCCTGCTGGCTGCTGCAACCCTGCAAGAGTCATGTCAGCTAACGTGGCCAGCGGTGAGGCCTACGGTGTGTGCCATAGCCAACAGCGGCAGACAGAGGACTAGCAAAGGCGCTCAACTGGGAAGCTGTGACCCATTTGTGAGGTGATGGCCATTTTGGTAACTGCCACCAATCATGGTGACATCTTTACTTCCCATGACCCAGCAGTGGTGTCCATCTATAGCCCAGTGAACCAGCCGCGGCAGCTACTTTTCATGGTGGCCAACTTGCTGGTCACAGACTAGCAATGGTGGCTAACTCGGGCACTTCTGTGTGGTAATGGTGGCCTTCTTGGTTACTGTAATGGAAGTAAGTACGGAAGCCCTCTTGGTCAAGTAAAGGCCCTGCTAAGATGTTGCTACCTAGTCCTCATGTCAGTCCTGGTCACTATGGCCCATTTGTGGTGGATCTTGCTGTTTATGGCCCAACACCGGTGGCTGTTCGGTAGAAAGTCCACTGACATCTGCTCCACCCCACTCCCCGCTTGCCTCCTCCACTCACCTCCCTGTCCCAAGCCTCTCTCTTCTCCTGCTTGGGCTCAGCTTCTGGCTGGTGGAGGTGATGGCGGTCCTCATGCCTTTCTCCACCTGCCTCAGCCCCCGGCCACAGGCTGTGGCCCCTGCCCAGCACCTGCACCCCCTTCTCCTCTGCCTCAAACTGGGCCGTCTCCTCATCGCTGGTCTGCTCTGCCACCCGCTTCCACAGGCCCTCAATGGTCTCCAGGGGCCCCCTCTTTTCCTCCTCTCTGTGGTCCTCCTGGCGGAGCCGGCCACGGAGCTGCTTGCGGATGGCCTGTTCCCGCAGTTCGGCCTTGTGGGTCCTTTCTGCTGTCTCCTCTTCCTCGTCCCTCACCTCCTGGCTGGACCTTGTCTTCCCAGCCTCTGGGTTTTTAAAATCCCCAACCAGGAGGCCTTTCTCTTCAGTGGACCCACAGCCGCAGGACTCTGTCTCACACATTTCTAGAGGAAAGAGAGGATGTTCTCTGTGCAGCCAATCAGAAAACAGACCTAGAGTTCTGGGGCTGGGCTGCCCGAGGTCCCACAGGGGCACTGCCCAGACCTGGGAGGGGAGAGTCAGGTGCTGGGAGACACTCTGCCCCCATCCTGTACCCTTGCAGGGAGCCCTGAGGGTGGGGCTGGGGGCCAGGCTCCTTCAGTCTGGACACCCTTGACAATGCCGGGCCAGCCCAGACGATGGCTCTAGGATGAGGAGAGGACACCCCTTCCTCCAGGCAGCCCTGGTGGGGTGGGAGCTCCTAAGAGGAACTGGGGCCTGGGCCCGTCTTACCTTTGTGGAGGAGAGCCATGCAGGCGCCTCGCTTGGCCTGGCCCAGGGTCAGCACTTCTGTGACCACCTCTGCCAGACAGCGAGTCAGCTGGGGGTGAAGGGTCAGAGGGGAGGTTGAGGGTAGGGCAGATGGGGGGCATGAGAGCAGTGGGAGGGTCGCAGGGGAGACAAAAGATCGTGGAGGGGGCTGGGCAGGGGGGACCAGGGCCCCAGGGACATGAGGCAGGGCAAGAGGGCCACAGTCCTCACCTCCTCCTTGGAGGGTCTCGGTGCCAGGGGAGCCGCGGTGGCTGTGGAGGAAGGACGGGGGTGCTGGGCTTGTACTCCGGGCGCTGTCCCGGGTGCTGATTTCAGCTCCGGGGTCGTCCCGGTACCCACAAGTCCCCTCCCCCAGCCCCCCTGCCAGGTGCGCCGTCTCCACCTGGAAGCTCAGCCCATGAAAGCTCTAGTCCGGCCCCGCTGGGTGCGCCGTCCCCGCCCCCGGTCACCCGAGTCCCCCGCTCCCCAGGCTGGCCGGGGGCGGGGGGGGGGGG